TCTTTGATATCAGCATGCTGTGTAGATAAGTACTGATCAAGTCATGCTTCTAAGGCATGGAAGGAATCTTTTCAATTGTTGAGTGTCCATTCATTGCCACAACAGCAGAAAGACATTCTGCAGTTATCATTGATCTATTTAATGTGTCCTACACGACATGAAGTCCAAACTATTGTGTTGTACTGATGTCTACACCTACAAAAACCATAAACTCAACCTCAAAGTAACCTGTCGTGTTTTAGCAACATCCACACCAACCATAAGCTTAAAACCCCATCTCACGGTAAACTTTAGTGTACTGTAAAGGTCTGCGCCGACCACAACCCAAACCTTGCCTACTTGTAAGTTACTGTTGTGAAGCCTGGATAGCTCAGTCGGTAGAGCATCAGACTTTTAATCTGAGGGTCCAGGGTTCAAGTCCCTGTTCGGGCGTATGACGCTCATTTTGTGGAGCCACAGCTTTTGCCGTTGAGCTATCGCTTGATGGAATTTTCATCTGGATGCACAATATGTGTACTAGGCATAAAGAAATGGCAGTACAGGCAGTCTTGTAGTCGTGGCCGAGTGGTTAAGGCGATGGACTAGAAATCCATTGGGGTCTCCCCGCGCAGGTTAGAATCCTTTGCCACAACAGCAGAAAGACATTCTGCAGTTATCATTGATCTATTTAATGTCTCCTACATGACATGAAGTCCAAACTAATTCACTTTAGACTGTGGGGGAAACCGGAGCACCCGGAGGAAACCAACGCGAATGCAGGGAGAACATGCAAACTCCACACAGAAACGCCAACTGAACCGAGGCTCGAACCAGCGACCTTCTTGCTGTGAGGGGACAGCACTACCTACTGCCCCACTGCTTCGACCAGCATAAAAATGTACATGAATAAATCACAATTTAAATGTTTTTAAATGTCATTTAATTATCAATAAATCAATGCATTACAAATACATTGTAAATGTATAAATAAATAGACACTTTTATTACTGTATTATTATTTAATTCATGTTTTAAAGGCTGATTAATCAAACAGTAAAAATTGTATTAATAAATCACAAAACACATTTTAAACAGCTTTTTAAATAAGCATTTGGCAAATTCTTTTCTCCCTATTTGCTGTTTGGTTTTCTTTTTCTTTTGCCACATGCTTTTCTCAAATTGAAAATGAATCAGGTTAAAAATGGCTCTGCTGTAATGAGCTATTGTTTTCCTCTCTTAGGAAAAAAAGACAGTTAACAGTTTTATCTAGATTAAATGACCTTGGTAATAAAGATTTTCTTGGAGATATAGAACAAAATAAACTTCGTATTTTGCCATCAGAGTTGGATGACAACTATACAGAGAAAGCTAAAGGAGCTTTACGATCTAGAGTGAAATGGATAGAGGAGGGGGAGAAAAATTCTTCATATATATTTTTTTTAATTTAGTAAAGCATAGACAATCTTCAAAAACTATTAATCAACTTAGTATAACAACTTAGTGATGATCACATCTATTCATATTATTATGTAAGTCAAAATTTAATGAGAGTGATTGTGACTTTTTCTTTTCCTTTTTAAAAGATAAAAGTTCCTATTATAGATAACAGCTTCCGAGAAATGATGGAATCTGACATTGTTATCTCTGAACTTGATGTTACTATTTCTAAAATATCCAATGGAAAATCCCCAGGTAACAGGCCAGAGATGAGATTTTTAGTTTTTGAAGCACTTAAGGAATGTATAGAGAAAGAGAACTATCGACTTCTATGAAGCAGGGTTTAATCATTTAGTTCCAAAGCCAAGCAAAGACCAATTATTTTTAAATAATTGGAGACGCATAACTCTTTTGTCCAATGATTTTAAATTGCTCTCTCATGTATTTGCCAATAGACTCAAAAAAGGTATAGGCGAGATAATTAATGAAACACAATTAGCTTTCATTAAAGTGAGAAGTATTTACAATCATATCAGACTGATAGTTCATATGCTCGATTATAGGTATTTAATTCCTCAGACAAGTTTATTTCTATTTCTAGACTTTTTTAAGTCATTTGATACCCTTGAGCATCCTTTTTTGTCTTTAGAAAGTCTTTAGAAACTTTTGGGTTTAGTCCGAGCTTTTGTTGGGTAATTTTCATGTTCTATACTGATATATTCAGTAGTAAATCTCTGAATTCAGGATCATCTCCTGGAGTTTACATCAAAAGAGGAATCCATCAAGGATGTCCCATCTCACCTTTTCTTTTTAATATAGCTGTTGAACTTATGTAATTATATTTAAAAAATTCAGAGCACACTTTAGGTATTGATATACTTGGTAGGACTTTTAGTTTAAGTCAGTTTGCTGATGACACTCTATTAATTCTTAAAAATAGGGAGGTGCTCCCTTTAGCTCTTGTCAAAATCTCTGTTTCCTAAAGCTTCTGAATTCACCTTAAACCTAAGAAAATGTGGAATATTGACTATTCAGAATTGTACTTTAAGAGAATTAGAGGGTATTCTAGTAAAAGAAGAAGTTAAATATTTGGGAGTTACCATCACCAAAAATTCTGTTAACCCTTAAAGACCTAGAGGTATTTTGTGGGCACCTAATGGGCCTATATTATTATTTTTTTTAAAAGCAGTTTTATTTTTATTTTAGCAGTCAGCCTCAAGTGTCATATATCATTTTGAACAGGAGAACCTGAAGTTTCAATCTGTATCATTTAATAGAGAATGTGCAAATTTTAATATTAAAATGGAAGGTATGAAAAAAATCCCTAAATCATTGGCTAGCTAGAGACCTTTCCATATAGGGTAAAATTCTTTTGACTGGGATTATCTAAAATTATATATTTAACTTTTCCCTTATATACTCCTCCTAAAATAGTTAAATCTATTAATTAAATATTATTTAAATTTATTTGTAAAAATAAAACACATTATTTACGTAAGAATTATATGATCAAAGAGTTTGAATATGGAGGTTTAAAAGCAATCGATTTTGAATGTCTTCATGGCACTTTTAGAGTTAAATGGTTAAAAGAGTGTTTAGCTAAGCCTTATTCAATATTGTATCATATCCCAAATAATTTGTTTAAAAAAATGGTGGCCTTGAATTTGTATTAAGATATGATTATGATTGTTCAAAACTTCCTTTGAAGCTGTCTACTTTTCATAAGCAAGCACTACTTTTTTGGAAAATGATATTTACCCATAATTTTCCCCTCATAAATCCACTCTTTGAAATAAAAGGGCTGTTATTATTAACAGGAAATCATTGTTTAGAGGTGACTGGTACAATAAAGGCATTATATTTATTAATGATTTGTTAGATGTAAATGGACTGCTTTCTCATAACAAATTTTTAAATAAATATAGAGTTAAAATCACAGATAAAGGTTATATTGAAATTTGCGAGGCTATACCTATTGCTTTGTTTAGGTTAATTCAAAGTAATTGTTTTGATCTCCCATTTATACTTATAACTTTTCTTCCATTTTTAAAAATATCAAATGTTGATATTTTCGATGGTAAATGTAACATCAAGCTTATTTACAAACAATTTAAACGCTTATCATTGGTGATTTTAAGTGTCATCATCTAGGAGTTGTTAAACCCTTAGTAGAGGACAAAGCTTTTACCTTTTATCTTAAATATCCTGTAGCACCCAAGGTTAAGGAAACTCATTACAGAATTGTATTCAGGATATATCCTGTGAATTAGTTTATTCAAAAAAACTCTGATGTTGACAAGTGTAGCTTCTGCTTAAATCTTCCAGAAACACTCGATCACTTATTTTTTTCTTGTGAAATTACTTTTAAATTCTGGTTTGACATCCATCCTTGGCTTTCATTAAAGATGATTTCAGTCCCCCCTATTGTTTTAGAAGATATTTTATTTTACAAAGCTGATTTACATTGTTCTTTCTCTGATGTTGTGAACTTTATTTTAATGAGTGCTGACCCTCTTTCAGGTGTTTTCTTTCTGAGGTAGAGAAAGTGGCTCAAAGCTTCAAATACTTCAGAAATCAAAGTAAAATAACTGAAGCTCTCTGTACTTTATTTTTTAAAACACTTATTGTCATAATGTTTTGTTTTTCTTTTGATGTAGATCTTTTGTTGCAGTTGTAACAAATTAAATTTATTTTATATATTTTAATGTTAAATATGCCTTGCGATGTTGACTGTTCCCTGTTTTGTGATGTAAACTTTTTTGCAACAATAAAAAAAAAACACTTAAACTTAGTGGATTAAACAAGTTTTTCAAAATTGTTTTAAAATGTTTGGATTAAAAGTTTTGATCAACTTCAAATTCTAAATGTCGATGTATATGAGAGACAGCAGATATGTTGTGTAAAGTGGAAAACGAGGGAGAAATTGATCATGTCCTGACTGCAACAGTAAGTGGCCAAAAAAAAACTGAACAAAAAAGACTTTTATTTTGGTGTGGTGTGTGACGTCATTAGGCTGCGCCGCTTCCGCGCTGCAGTTCAACTGGAGGAAGGTTTGTTTCACAACTTTACACATATAAACCGATTGATTAAAGTTTCAGGTTTTTCTTCCAATATGACATACCTGCTGTTGACTTTTATTTTAATTCTTTATACAACGTAGTACTATTTTAATCTCAGTAATCGAGGGCTATTGTTTGAACAACAGAAATGTGTTTTAATGAAGGTTTTATTTATTTACTAGCATAATGTCATTCTAATATAAGTAAACAATATTCTATATATATATATATATATATATATATATATATATATATATATATATATATATATATATATATATATATATATATAATAAATGGAGAACTAGTTTTTATTAGGTCATTTGTTTGTGGCTATTGTTTCTTGCTCAGACTTACCTGATTTATTTTTGTCAATCACTCTCATATAAAGAAACTGTTGAAGCAAGTGTTGAAGAGAAGTTATTTTGTTTCTGTTCATTGTTTTGTTCATTTTAAACAGAATAAAGTGTCCAAACACAGAGAAAAACTCCTGCTGAAGCGACTGATCTCCACACTGTTATAAAGATGGTGTTTATTAAAGAGGAGAGTGAAGATGTGAAGATTGAAGAAACATTCACAGTCAAACAGGAAGATCTGCAGGAACAAACAGGTTGGTTTTCATTCTCGAAACCAACTCAGTCATTTGATCCTCATTCAGATATATTTTAATAATAAGAATACTAAATTAAATCCATCTTGCAGCCCTGAGTGTGCTGCCTAGTTCTCTTAAATGCACATAAGCACTCATTGAAAGACAGGAACGAGTTTCTTTTGTTACTTGTTCTCAGGTCTTTTGTCATTATTTTATGTATTATTAGTCTCCCATTTTCTCTACCTTCTTAAGGTTGTTGCTTTTTTTGTTCTCCTACTGTTTGTAAGGTGTCCTTGAGCACTAAAAACAGCCTTAAGCACTAATGTCGTTTTAAAATTATTATTGAACGAATCCTTATATTTGCGCGTCACTATACAAATTTATCAGGACTTTGATAAAATGAAAATGGAAAGGATTGGAAGGGAATTTGCTGTGCTCTATCATTGATAGGGAAAAGGAAACTCTTTGCTAGATTGACTTTGTATCCAGAAACATTTCCAAATTCTGAAATTATTGTAAAAACTTTTGGAATACATGTATCTGGATTCGACAGAAAAAGAAGATCATCCGCATATTATTATTAATATAGTCAGTCGTCGACTGAGGTGGGCCGGACTAAGGCTTGAAATTCCAGAGCTAAAAAGGAGTCCCACTCCGGCCCTGTTCCCTGTCTGCTTTACACATTTTAGAAAAACATTTTGTTGTAATTATAAATATAAACAAATAAAAATTCCATTTACAGCTTTCAAATCTGTCTTATTAATATGACCAAAATTACTTTTATGATCAATTATGTAAGAAAGTCTAAAAACTGGACTGACACGGTTTTAATTTACTATAACTTCTGTTAAGTGGCTTTGACAAAATTTACATTGTAAAAGCACTACATAAATAAAGATGAATTGAATTGAATCTGCTTAAATGTGTACATGTTAATGGACCAAACAAAATATGATCTGATTTATTTTACATTTACCATGCATCAAAATTGCAGTGTGTGTAGCCAATGTTTCCAGTGTCTTTTCACTTTTCAGCTTTTGATGAGAGTTGTAAGATTTAATGAAAACATGTTTTATTTATTTCAGACCTAATTGAAGAGAATGAGGGCAGTAAAGAGGAGGAACATCATGTCAAAATTGAGAAAAAAACTAATTTACAGACTGATGGTATTTTGAAAAGGGGAGACAAAAATAGTTTCACCTGCACTCAGTGTGGAAAGAGTTATGGAAGTAAAGACTATCTTAAGATTCACATGAGGATCCACACTGGAGAGAAACTATTCACATGCCCTCAGTGTGGGAAGAGTTTTGGAAGAAAAAGGGAACTTAAGATTCACAGGAGGATCCACACTGGAGAAAAACCATACACATGCACTCGGTGTGGGAAGAGTTTTAGCCAATCATCAAACTTAAATCAACACATGAGGATCCACACTGGAGAGAAACCATTCACGTGCACTCAGTGTGGAAAGAGTTTTAACCGATCATCATCCCTTAATGAACACATGATGATTCATACCGGAGAGAAACCATTCACATGCACTCAGTGTGGGAAGAGTTTTGGAAGAAATTTCGATCTTAAGATTCACATGATGATTCACACTGGAGAGAACCCATTCAGATGCACGCATTGTGGGAAGAGTTTTAGCCAATCATCATACCTTAATCAACACATGAGGATCCACACTAGAGAGAACCCATTCACATGCACTCAGTGTGGGAAGAGTTTCCACCGATCATCATCCCTTAATAATCACAAGACGATCCACAATAGAGAGAAACCCTTTACTTGCACCCAGTGTGGAAAAACCTTTAACAACTCATCACACCTTTATGAACACATGCGGATCCACACTGGAGAGAAACCATTTACATGCACTCAGTGTGGGAAGAATTTCAACCAATCATCAAACCTTAATCAACACATGAGGATCCACACTAGAGAGAAACCATTCACATGCACTCAGTGTGGGAAGAGTTTCATCTGCTCATCATCCCTTAATCTACACATTATGAGCCACACTGGAGAGAAACTTGCACTTAAGCAGCGGTCACAATGGACTTTTTTCCCCATGGATTTCCATTCATACGCACGGGAATGTGTCAGACCGGAAACCAAGTTTGTGTGTCAAGTTTCGCAGTTCACTGCATTGCAAAGTTCAAGCTTGGTGAACTCTGACCTGCAAAATCGCATCACTTGACTGTGTGAGACCAATCAAAGATCAAAACATGACCTTTCTGGACAGAAATGTAAAATATGGACCAATAGCTCGCTTTTTTGTCTAATAATCTTGTTTAATCCCGTCGCTTTTCACAGCGCCAAACAACAGAATTTTGCATGCTCAAACTCTAGTGTGACCACAGCTGCGGTGTGGGATGAGTTTCAGCAACTCCTCAGACCTTAATAAAGACCCACACTGGAGATAAACCATTAAATGCACTCCGTGTGGGAAGTTTCAACCAATTAGCAAACCTTAATGAACACATAAAGATCCACACTGGTGTGAAAGAGTATATGTGCTTGAGTGTGAGAAGACTTTTATTTCAAAATTTAAACTGCACCCGACGTTTCACACTGGAGAGACCGTACAAGTGTTCACACTGTGACAAGAGGTTTAATCATTAACACATCTGAAAACACAAAAGAGTATTCACACTGGAGAGAAACCATACAGATCTGATGAGTGTCTACAGAATTGGACAAAAGTTGCACACATGACATGAATGCAGCAAAACATTTTCTCTGTGCACAATGTTTGAAAAGGCTGAGTGACGATATACTGTTTTCCAACACTCCTACACTGCAGTAGGTGGGGTTGTAAATGTGTTGCGCTCCTCGCGTTTACCGTAAACACAATGATGGCGGCTGAGAGAAGAACAGTTTCATAAACATCTGACAAACAGCATCTCAGCAGCTTAAAATCTCTCTTTGCAAGTGATTGTACAGGTGCGGATACATCTGTACTCCACTCTCCAGTGTATTCATGTAGCTAGTGTTGTTTTGGATGATGTTCTCTGTCTGACTACCTGAATGAGTAGCATCACTGGAAAGACACAAATAAATAAAGATGCATTATGAATATTTTATGATTTAGGCAGAGTGACAGGTATTAAGTTTTACAATATTAATACACTTTGATGATCCCAAGACTCCAGATTGGAGTATGTGGTAAATCCTGATTGGATGCCTGCATTACTCATCTATGGGTATATAAAAGTTGTTGTGCTAGGCTGCTAGCTAATCCAGGACGCTGTGGCTACTCAGGAGTCCTCCTGTCAAGACCTGCCATCTCATTAAATCTTTAACCTTATGGTTTTGTTTTGCATTGCTTATATCATGTAGTAAAAGTGTTGTTGTGATTATATCCTAAGTTCTTTATCTTCATTATTATCCCTAGACATTTGTTGGTTGCTTTGATTGATGGTTTTATGAGTTACATTTTATAATAAATAATTTGCATTCAGGCTATTTTGTTGGCTCATCTCTCTTTTATGTTGCGACTCAAACAAGCAGATCATAACACTTTGTGAAATGTGTCCGGTTGTATTTAAGATCCTGTCCTTTCAGTCATGACCATAGGTGAGAGTTGGAACCTTGATTGAGCGGTAAATTGAAAAAATTGCCTTTCATCTCAGCTCGTTCACCACAACAGACAATCACATCAACTGCATTACTGCTGCCACTGCACTGATCCATCTTTTAATCTCACATTCCATTCCTCATGAAAAAAACGCAGATACTTAAGCTACATTTGAGTTAAGGACTTTCCTTCAAACTGGAGATGGCCACCTTTTTCCAGTCGAGCACCATGGTCTCTGACATAGAGGTGCTGTTTCTTTCCCTGCCATGTCACACTCAGCAGTAAACAGCAGTGGTGGGAGTAACGAATTACAACTACTCATGTTACTGTAATTAAGTACATTGTTGGGGTAATTGTACTTCCATGGGTAGAATTTTAAGCCTGTAATTTTACTTGTACTTGAGTACAAATTAAGCTGAGTAATCTACTTTGTAACTTTTAAAATCACACTTCGTTACAGAGTACTGTAAATAAATTATTATTTCAACCCCACACTGACCAGCATTTCTGTAGCCAATAAAAAAAGGTCATCTTAATGGACCAATGAAAAGCCTGGTATATTATTTGAACCGAAAAACAAGTTCAGGCTACTGCAGATTTACGTGAGCTGACCGTCATCATCATACAGTCACGAAGTTATCAATAGACATATGGAGATTTAAGACAGAAGAAATGAGGAAGAAAAAGCAGAGGATGAATGCCCATGGCCACACCCGGAGGAGCTGTTCACCTACAGGTACATAGGGAAGAAAGGGGACAGCTGTGCTGATGCAGTGTGAATAGCTATGTTATCATCTTAAATGCTAATTAAATGTATGCCCAAAACTAGAATATTGCATAAAAGACTATGCAAATAAAGCAGCGTTTCCATCCAACAAGTCAAAGAGAACAAAATCGCCACCTTCTGATTAACTGGCGACAAACATCAAAAGTAAAAACAGAATATGCATCGGTGGGAGCAGCTACGGGACTATATTATCTTCATTTAATAAATGACTTGCAGTGAACGCGCGCTGGCGTTTGAAGGCGCGAGACATGGAGTGCAGACACTCTTGACAATTTTGGAGGTCATTAAAATACTAATATTATAACAATACTGAAATGGTTGAGGCGGTTTAGAATGACCAAAACAACACTTTAGATGTTTTACAATGTGCTTAGCCTGCTGTTTTGTACATTCACACACATTTTCGAAAAATATTCGCATTATAGCATTTCCATCAACCGTTTTTATGTGCATATCCAAAAAGCGCATACAATAAGTGAATGAAACCTGCCTTCTGCTGTGCCATCTGGCTTACACAGGGTTTCCGAGGGGTCTTAAAAGGTCTAAAATATAAACATCTAAAATTTAGGCCTTAAAAAGTCTTAAATTCGCTGTTCTAGGTCTTAAATATGCTTGCACAGGTCTTACTTTTCCGATGTCCATGTAATGCTACTCCTAATGCTCATTTAAATATTTTTTTGTTGTTGCTTGGTGTTACATCCCTTGGATGTATTTATTATTATTGTTGTTTGTTTATGTGTTTACTGCCCAGCCGGCACACGACCGACCTTCAACGTTGAAATATGGTTGAAATAAGGTCAGATGTGTTTTGAACGTTGAAATAATGTTGATAGAACGTTTAATGTTGAACGGTTGAAAAACAGCCTGCATATGACAAGGCTTCAACGTTGAAATGTGGTTGAAAATACGTCAGTAGTTGCTTTAATGTTGAAACAATGTTGAATGATAAATGGTTGAAAAAGGTTACAGAAATCCTTGTACAAATCAACGTTGACATTTTTTTATCATGATCTGTATGTTGAATTAACGTCATGGCTTCACCCAATATTCAACATGTTTGGTTACCATGGTATCGGAGGACTCGGCGCACGCGGCCGCGCGCAGCGCTTCACTTCACTTAATTACGAACACCTGACCTGCAGTGCAGTAGAATTCAGAGGTAAGCGTGTTTTTAGATGCTTTAATGTTTTATTTACCCCCCGATTTTGTTTTACACACAGTGTATCTTAAATGTGACTTGGTGTAGTGTTTCGAATTTTGAAGCATTTAAAACTTTCCAGTTTGGTTTTTAGTCTTGTTTGCGCTCCGGTGACGCGCAGCTAACCTCGAGGTAATGTCACATGTTTAACGTTAGTCTAAATGAGCGTTTTTATGGCAAATTCAAAGCGATAAACTCCAAACGCAGTTTGAAGTTACTGAGCAACGTTATAAAACAATATCCTTTTTATACGCTGTATCATTAGTGTTATTATTACAAAGTGAACTGCTTTCGTTTCACTGTTGTTGTTGTTTTTGCTTTTAGACATGTAACTTAGTCCAGAGACGCACTAACTCGCACAGCATTGAATGGAAAAGGCTTTGTCCATGTAAGTTTACTTTAGCTTTAACTAAGCTATCTGTTAAATCTTCTTGGTGCTTTGGTTGGTGATATTCTTTCTAATCTGTTTGTTTATTGATTGTTAAGCTATGTTGTGATATTATATTGTTATATTGATATTATTATTGTGAAATCATGTTGTGATGTTATACTATGTGACAGTATTGGGGAACAAATATGTATTTAGTTAGAAATTAATGCTTAAATTACACTTTGTATAGTAGCAGATAAGAGGTGTAATGGGTTTTAATTTTCTGGGTTTTCTGGAAGGTCCAGTTGAGGGGCATCAAGAACATGCAGATGGCCTAAACCTGTGTCAGCCTGGACAGACTGCAGTTCTGCTATTCCACGCCAAGGCTTTTGTATGGATGTCTGACTACTACTGTGTTCTCTAAAGGTATTACTGGAGCAAAACAACAGCACCTGTTACAGTGAAATTTGTATTCATAAAAATAGTGATACATGTGTAGCAGGTCCAGTACATGTGATGTCATTGAGAAGTTGTTTTTATTAAATGTCATTAAAACAAATAAATAAACATGCTATTTAAATAAATCTAAATATTAAAAACTTGAGGATTAAGATGAGAAATGAAATGCATCATCTGTCTTGCGAAAGGGGTCTACTTAAGAATTCTGGTGTTTTCCAACTGAAAGGGATAGTTCACCCAAGAATGAAAATTTACTCACATTTTACTCCCCAAATGGTTTAAAACCATTATGAGTTTATTTTGTTGAACACAAAAAAGAGGCTATTCTGAAAAAAAAACTAAAAACCTGTAAACATTGACCTCCATAGTAGAAAAAAATACTATAGAAGTCAATGGTTATAGATTTGCAGCTTTCTTCAAAATATCTTCTTTTGTGTTCAATGTGGTCAGTAAATGACGACAGAATAAACATTTTGAACTATCCCTTTAATTCTCTGTCCTACATGAAGACTTTTGTAGAATTGCTACTCCTTCTAGAGTTTTTCTCAACCATATGTCTAAAAAGCTTCAAACAGCTTTTAC